AAATCAACAATGCAATGTAATATCGATATTTAATCTACACTTTTGTATTGAAGTATATACTGCAATAATAGCTTTAAATATCTTTTTTTGACGCGCAGCGAAATTAGTACTAATAATAGGGGAGGGCATATCAGTCCTTATATGTCTAAACCTAGTCAAAGAGCTCTCTAGATCTAAAGAATTCATCTGCGACTCTCGCTAAGTACGGATCGCTCAGTACGGATTACCAAATTTTTTCGTATATATATGGGATGCGGAATTTGAATTTGGCAACCTGTCGATTACATCGTTCTCATGCGGAGCCGTACGACATTCCAAAAAATTACAAAATAACATTGATTACTCTCGCATTAAGATTTTGATATATCGACATATTGTCAAGGAAAACAATGTGATAGTTATATATTAAATATTTTATTTTATAGGCGAGTAAGATGGGCCTGGCGGGGACGCATCCAAGCGGGTTACCCTTTTTCTGTCCGAATGGAGACCACCTGACCCAACCACCTCCCGCCCATATGGGTATACCGCCCTACGGCGCATTGGACGCGGGTAAAGCGGCCGCGGCGGCTGGTAAGTAATTTTTGCTATCACTATCAGCTATCTATTAGAATAACTAATCCCTATTAGTGTGCTTTTAAGGCAACTTAATTCTTACTGAATTAATTATTAAATTTTGTAGCTTTTTAATTTTGAAATTATACTTGAAATCTATATTTAAAGTCTACTTGAATCAATATCGGTTTTTCAACATTTTTCTCATCATATTTTTTTAATTTAAAGATGTTAATATCTCTATTAGAGAGTGTGCCCCTCGAAGGGATGATGGCTTTATTATAATGTGTCCCCAATTTCTGTGCCTATTTACATTTGACTCATTTTAATATACAATTACTAAAACAGATAATAGATATAAGCTAATTGGTTTAGTTAGTATTGTATAAATTATTATTTTAATTTACTTACAATTTCAATGTGCACTCATGACATAACGCTCTTTGCTTCGATACAGGACGCACTAATAGGGGCAAGTTTAAAATTTTGCGATATTACTGGACTCACGTAAATTCTTCTAAACTATGATATGTATCTTTCGAAAAATATTTACTATAGGCACTCTAATAGTTAAAAAGTGAAATACTATCTTTGATACCCCGTATACATTAATAATTTAACTTAATAAAAACAAATTTAAAAACTATAAAAACTAGAATAATCTTCATGGATCAACTTCTTTTTTTCATTTGACTTTACTAATAATCGCTTTTTTGTTCGAATTAAGTTGAACGATTTTGCAAAAATTGTTGCCACTTAATGTGTTCGATAATCAAAATCTTCGTGACACGTTGTAATTTTCATGTCATACATAATTGAGTACACAATTGTAAATTTTATAAAGCGTGCTTTCTCGTTGATAAGTTAATAAGTTGTTCATATTTGATATATTTAGTCCTTGCAAAGTTAGAAATTCGGCACGTTTATTATATTTTACGAATTTAATAAAATTTAGGCATAGAGAAATTACATTTAGTCTTAATTAAAGATAAAGTGGAAATCATTCTTAACCCTTCGTTGACACACCTCTTTTTTCGATCGCTTTTTGACACACTGAGTGGCTCACATCCAGAGCAATGTTTAAACAACTGGCATTCTTATTTAAAAAATCTAATCAATATGAAAAAAATTATGGATTAATTTCAAGATCTATAGAATACGTTCAAATAATTTTTAATTGAAATTTTATTACAGTTTTTGTGAAAAAAATTCTTTTCAATGAATAGAGAAAAAACGAGTAAAATCTTTGAAAAATTGTAACTTTTAAAAAATTCAATATAATTTAATTGACAATTAAAAGTTTATAGAATTGTTGTTTAGATATGATACTTTGGAAAAAAAATTAGTTTGTAAGTTGGTTTCGGATAAAGGGTATTTATTTTGCATATTGAATGCAGGCTACTATTTTGTAGGGAATTGAAAAAAATAGATTTTTTATAAATATTGTATTTTCGTTCTACAAAATGAAAGAAAATTGAATTTTAGAGAGTTAAAATAATTTTGTGGATGGTTCACACCCTATATGTCAACGAAGGGTTAAATCCCTTATATTTTTTAAAATAAAATTAAGTTTTACTTGATTTTACTTTATTTGAATCAGGATTGATAAAAATCATGTTATAGACATATTCAAAATATATTAAATTGATATTTTAAACATATTTCAAGCATGTTTTTTAAAATACTATTTAAAACATGCTCAAAACATAAAAAATATGTTTAAAAAAACCTATAATGCTTTGTTTTAAAAAAACATAACATTTGCCAACCCTGACTTGAATGTATGTAATTATGTGTACATACGAGGGCTATGAATTTACAAACTGAATTATTGATACATATTATGTTACTGGAATATTTAACTATCCCGAAATGATTAATTTTTGTCATTAATATTGATTTGTTAAAACCAAGTAAGAATTCAAAACTTGTTATAATCATTATGTTATAGTATCATAAAGTATGCCAGATAGCACTTTCACGGAAATAACATATTGACATTGACAGACAAAGATTACAAATTTATATATTTTTAAACGATATACATCAATTGCGTTTACATATCGTTTTGCAATATACCTTGATCACAAATATACAGCCCCATTAATAATATAAAATCTCACTCCACGCTTTCAACATGAACTTTCAACTACTGACAATACGCTCATAGTCTCGATATTCCCAATACGTATCGGTTGAATCAACAATTCTTTCACGAAGTTAATCCGCTATTGTCCGGCCAAATATTGACGTTCCTCTCGAATTGTAATTGATGGAATACTTCTCGTTCCCGCTCGCGTAATCGACACGCTCCGCCCCGTCGAGAGAGCTTTATATATAATTTTATTGTATCGAGCTGCGCAAATATTAACATGGCCGTTACAACCTGACCCAAGCGAGTCCAGCTTGTGTCTGGCCTTTGCGCAAACCGTTTGCAACCACGTTAACACACGTTAATCTTCGTTATAGCGATTCGGTAGACGAAATACCGAATTACGTATAATATAAATAAATCTACAGTGAGCACAGCAGAGCTCGTATTGGCGTAGCAGCACTGGTATCAAGTTTTTAAATCTCTGAATACAGACATTGCACAACATGGAAATGTCTTTATTGTCAAGTACGTTTGATTCTCTCTTAAGCTAATCGCGAGCGTATTTTCGATGCTCTCGAATTGAGTCGAGCTGAAAAGTCTGCATTGATAACTTCTGGTGTTTAATTGAAGGAATATTTCTTATCAAGTCAAGAGGCACGGTGATGTCGAGATTTAAATCGAGGTTGCGAAGAGGGCGGCATAATCTCTAGAGAGAGCTCTAAGAGAGAGAGAGACAAAGAAAGAGAAAGAGAGAGAGAGAGAGAGAGGATAGCAGCAAATTTAGAACAAGTACGATCGAAAATGGGAGAACTCACCATTAGATTAATTAGCAAATATCCAGCTTTTCTCTGGGTCAAGGTAGTTTCTATCCGCCTATACAGTTTTGATAGATTCCGCTCTTATTCTATTCTTGGAACGCTTTCCTCTTCTATCAACTTCAAATTGTTTCAAATGGTTTTATTGTCGATCGCCAACTTAGCTCTTCGATTCGCAACCTTGAAAAGTTTTGAAGTAGTGTCATCGCTGAAAGAGCTTTAAACATTGCTTCTGCTAATTTATCTTAGGACAGTTTTCATCACTTCACTCTTTCCCAATATATTTTTTGTCAAGAAACTTAAAGAGTTTTCTTATCATTTTGTCTATAAACAAGTACAAATAAGATATTCTTTACCCTCTCCCTCCCCCCCCCCCTCTAAATTCTGAAATATGTAGATGATGTTGATAGCATTTATGCATGCACGGCGGCTCTGGTTCTTTGTCTTGCAAACAAGGGAGGAGCATTCCATCTTTACTCTTCGCGAAGTAAACTGTGGCTCGACCTCATCCTGTTTCATGCCCCTTCCCTTGTTGCTCCGGAACGACAATTTCTCTTAATACTTCTCCGAACTCACCACCTATTCGCCCAATCTCTCCCCTGCTACTAAGCAGTTGAATATCGCGGTAAAAAAAATTTTTCTTTTCTTCCGTTCACTCTATATTCTGTTCTGTACTCTCTCTATTTTCTAATATCTCTATTCCCTTTTCTGCTTCTCCTCTCCTTCTTCATTTTCCTTTCCTTTTTTTTTTATTTGTGATTCTACGATTTATTTTCTCGCTTGCATGGATGTACCATGCATGTATTTTTAATTAGTAGCTTTACTTTTCGATCTTTGTTGCGCGTGTTTATTTAAAAACTCCATAGAGAACAAGCAAAAGAGATAACGAATGGAAAAAGAAAGGGAAGTGGTAACGCAAATGAAAAAAACAGGAGGGAATGAAACGTAAAAAGGGTGGAGACACGGCCACCAATAACAATCCTGGTGTTCCAACTGGGCTTCGCCATTGATCCGCTTAGCTTCTCTCTTTCTCTTTTCTCCGTCATATTTTCTTTTTCTTATTTTCTCCTTTCTTTATCTATTTTTATATTTATTATTATACTGCTGTCTAATGCCCTTCTTTTTTTTTCTTTTTTTTTTCTTTTTTTTATAGATTTTCTTACATTTTTTTTTTTCGCTATTCTTTATGTTAAAACCTTTACATTTCCCAGTTTTGGAAAGTGATCGAATCTCTAATTTGCTGCTAATTTTTTGTTGAATTTTTTCGACTAATTTCGATTTATGCTGTTCTTTTGTTTCACGAATACTGGAAAAAGTATTATTCCTCGCAGTTTGTAATTAACGGTGGCAATTTATAATTAACAACGATCCTGTATTTTGCAATTCGAGTATGCAGAGTAAAGTTCGCTAATAACCTTAATAAGTTAATAATTAAAACCGTGTTTTATAAAAGTAACTCGGATAAAAGCTTGATTGATTATTCAATTAAGATTTAATCAACATTAATATCGAATAACATTAATTTGTTTCGAGTAAAATCGATATCATGAGAAAGGATTTAGATTTAGATATGTATCGGTCTTAAAGTAAATAACCGTAATTACAAATATTGTTTTGCATCGTCTGCACTTAACCAGCTTCTTATTAAATCTCTGTTATCGCATTCTATTTCCATTGCTGACTGCTACAATTTTTTGTAATCCTTTCGTAATCCTTTATTTTATTTGTCTTACCTCTAAGAACAACAATGGTAATTACACATTTAAGATTTTAATCAATTATGTTCTCTGCTTCTTTCGCAACGAGTTCTAAAGTTCTCGATTTATTTAAAGAAAAATTCTGGCGATTAAATGCAAGAAATAGATTTCCCAAGATATGCAATGTTAATTTTATGATATTTGTACAAAAACAATTTTTTTAATTCCAATTAAGATTGACTTAACTAAATTCTTTGTATAAAACTTTGAATACGCTCTCTTATCTCAATATCTCAATATATTTCAATAAAATTATTTGTAAAAATTATGACTGCGTATTTCTTATTCTTAATGATTTTATCAATTTCATCAAATTTTTGTGTAATTGATATGTTATCGCCTTTTAAAAATTAAAAGAAATAAAATAAATAAAATATTAATAAAGTTTGAACAATTATATTTATTAGTACAAAATATAAAATGTCTCAAAGGAAAAAAAGAGATAATTTCTGCTGTGTTTCTTTTTAGACTGTTTTACCGCTTTCACTCTTATTTCCATTGCATTCATTTAGTTTCCGAACCTGTACTATTCGGTTTCCCGAAGCCGGATGGATAGAATTCATGACGTTAAGGTTTAATAGAGCGAAATAGACGAATTCGCTCGCTCGCGGGGTGGGACGAAGCTACGAGAAAACGGTTGGAAAAAAGAACTCTCGAGCACCGGCCGAGTTAAAATCGACTTGGATGGAAGCAGGAAAAGAGTGAGGCGAGCAAATGGAAGAAGGAAAGAAAGAAAAAGAGAATATCGCGGTACACGGAACATCGGGAACCTGAGTTGTTCGAGAATAAAAGAGTAATTTTCCGGATGGTGAGATGCCGATAATGGGGTTGCAGACTGCCGAGTCAACTGGAAAGTGATTAAGCACACATGACGGAATCCACGGACTCGTCAGGATATTACGAGGCACCCCTTTCCGCTATCCTCCCATTTCTTCGCTCTCTCGTTTGCATCTTCTTGATCCTTCGTTGTCTTTTCTTTCTGTTTCTCCTATATTTTTCATTCTCTCTTTCTGCTCTATTTTTTTGTACTTATACTGCCAATTTTCGGTATTCTCTCTCTCTCTCTCTCTCTCTCTCTCTCTCTCTCTCTCTCTCTCTCTCTCTCTCTCTTATCGTATTAGACGAACAGGACTTTCGTGTTCTAATATGTTTCTAACGAATACGCATTTCGATCTAGCCAGCGTTGAACAAACTCGCCTTCAGCTTCTTTTCATCATTAACTGAAATTAAGTCATACTTGCACGATTTTAATCCTACCTGTTCCCAATCGCTTGCCTGGAAGTTCATCGAATACGAGAAATTTTATTTTTTCATTTTGTCTTCTTATTCTGCATTATCATCATAGATGCGATATTAAACTTTAAATCTTTTTTTTTTTTAGAATCTTTTTATAAAAGAAGTTAGTTGAGATCAAAAAGTAAATAACCTAAACTATTGTAAAACGTGTAACATAAAAAAAAATTGGAATGTTCGCGTACAACATAATGTGTAATTTATTTCATGATTTCTACATAAAGCGACATATAGACGGATATATCGTGTTGCACGCGACACATAAATTCGTGTGCGCAAGATAAAATATCGGATTATTACTTTTACGTGGGATTAAATTTCGTTTCAGCAGCCATTGTTTTCACGGGCTCGAGTGTGCTTCGTTATTCAAATGAGATTAAAAGCCCGGGGCTGAGTGGGAGCCCGGTCTCGTTACAGTCGAGTGGCTAATCGTCGTTATGCGAAGATCGAAAGTAGCTCCATTGCACAAAAAAGCTCCAGCATCCGCGAGTTTTACATACGTCGTCGAATCGTTTTATCTTTTTCTGTCGGTATTACAAATAAGATCGTAAAATAAAACTGATATATTAGTTTCTCTAAAGCGATAACAAATCTGACTACAAAAGCAAAACAACAGAGGATAATAAAAAAGAGAAATAGAGCCGTTTGTGACTAATCCGATTATTTAACAAGAAATATACATTTGTGACAAAATGACTTTGCGCTATTTAATAAGAATCAACCTGTACACACGAAGTGACAATGGAAGAAAAATATAGAACACGGCCATGATTATTCAAAATCACAATTGTTTTCGCGGAATGTAGCCGCGCTTCGTTATTTCAACGCAAACGGGAGACGGAAGTCCGATCTCTTTACGGTCGATCAGTCGACAGTCATTATAGCGTTGGGGATTGAGAGTGGCCCTATCCGGAGAAAACCACGCGTTGACCGATTTCAGCACGCGCGAGGGGACGAGAGAGAAGAGCCAGATTGTCACGGGGAATATGCCTTCGGGACATGATCGCCCGCAAAACGCAAAAAGGAACGGGGTGGAAACAGACTGGAGAGTCCATCCAATCCGTTCGCGTATACTATACTCGCCGAATGACATAGAAAGAGAAAAAGGGAATGATGACGAGAGAGGGGGAGGAGGGGGGAGGAGAGAGAGAGAGAGAGAGGAGAGGAGAAGAGAGAGACGTATTGGCCTCGTCAAGCGGTTTCAGGCTTGCCGATATTCCGGGCGCTTCTCGTCGACCCTTATGAAGCCAATTACACTTCGCCTCGCCAAAGGCACCCCACTTATATCCGCGCCCTACATTTCCCGAGCTCTCTTGAAGCCGTGATCGGTTCCGCGGCACGTACTAGTTACATTAGATACCAATGTAAAAGCGATATACCTTGTCCGTTATTCAACCTGCGATAGCTATGTACATCTAATTTTACAATTTGTTATCCGAGTGCTGTAAACTTTAAACCCTATCTTCGATTTGAGTTACGTGTACTTTTGCGAAAATTGCAAGTTTCATGTTTAACGGGAACACTGTTCAAATAATTACAGTATTGGTAATAAATGTTTTATTATAAAGTATCAGTAATTAAACATTTGTGGATTTATTATTTTATTTTTAACAAAAACATAGAATTATATTTAGCAATATCATTTATGCCTGTTTCTATCGATGTAAATTAACTTTTTTTAATAAATAAATTCAATTTTATAATAAATTAAATTTCTTGTAGGACTCTTACATAAAGTAATACTCAAAATGGCAGTAAGAGTCAAATAAAGGCAGATAAAAGTGTGCGTAAGTATCAGTATATAGTCGTTTTATTAAAGCCTCACACAGACGTTTGAGCTCCAATTCGGGCTCCTCAATGTAAAAAAAAAAATTGATATAAATTTCTTATGAGCTTCCCTCGCACTCCACAAGACAGCCGTAAATCAATCGCTTGTGTAACATCGCCCGATGTTCAATCACGTACATCGTACAACTGTGGCAGAGAGTGAATTAACTTCAATCTCGGGGTTCGATTTACTCATCTTTTTGAAATAGTTCTAGAAAGAGGTAGAAGAGTAAATGGAACTGAGATTAAAATTAATCTACATTAGTAGAAACGGGCATGAATTTTTTGCGTTCAGAAACAATCAGATAAGTTTTTTCAACAAATTTCTGACGAACTGTTCCATACATGCTCTCTACTCAATGTAACGTGGACTTGATCGCAATTATTCAAAAACGGTATTGATATCGATATCGTTCATCGGTCTGGGATGAATTATACGGCATTAAATTTCAACAACGACTATTCTCTGGACGACGATCCCGATGGCGTGTGCATTCCCACTTCGTGTTGGGTGCTAGTTACAGAGGGTGCGGCCGTGCATGCTGATCAATGCCCGTTCTCTTGCCACGAAAGAGAGAAAGCTCGACCTCCGTCGCTTCGTATGTTTATATTACAAACCTACGATATTAAAAGCAGTTTTCTTTTCTCGTTCAATTTCTTTGATCCCCGTCGCGATAGTATTTACTCCGTATACATTAATTATTAACATGCGAATCGAAGTTCTCATCGGTGTGTGCATTTTGCGATATCTAAAATTACAATTTTTTTTGAACATCCATAATATAATAATAACACTAATAATATTATAACTTGTAATATTATGAAAAAATCGTTATTCTCTTTGGAATAATCGTACGCGCATATTATTCATATTTAATTTTACTTTTGATAGATAAGAGATAAATGGAACTTTCAGCTTTTATAAATAGAATATAAATACATAGACTTTTTTCAATAGATTAGAAATTTAAAAAATTAGAAAAATGCATCTGCAATTAAAATTCGCTTGTGTTTGTCGCGACTCCCCAAATATAGGAATTTCCGTGCATACATTTGTTACCGGTTAGGTCTTTCGTGATCTCACCGCGATTAAATTCAATGTCATCACTTAGTGACCGTAAAATGGTCACGCTGTTAGCTAATGATAGATTAAACGCGTTATGACGCCGTTAATCACGGATATGAGATGCGCCCGTGATCAATGGCGGATTTATTTTGTGTTCTAACGTTCGGCACATTAATTCACGAGAACTTCAATCTTGATTATCAAAGAAATAGAAAATATAAGAATGAAAGCGAAGGGGCATAACGAAAAAAGTTCTAAGAATAAAAAATGGAGTTATATTTGATAATCCTTCATACTCTTTAAATTTCTTAAAGTAAAATTTTATTTCAAAAGAGTTAAAATACTCTTACTGTTGAAAAATAGTGAAAAATTTGCATTCTTGAATACAATTTTCATTCTTTTTTTTTTTTTTTGAGTGAGATATTTACATTCCAAAAGAAAGAAATCTCATTTCTTTTTTAAGTGAATCTCATTTTAAAAGTGTAAAATCTCACTCCGAGAAAAGAGTGAAAAGCTACAACTCTTATTCAAGAGTGCAAATTTTTCACTCTTTTAAATAGTGGCAGTATCTTAACTCTTGGAGTGAGATTTCACTCCAAGAAATTTAGACAAGCAAGATGGAGAAAAAAATGATATATGACTAGAAATATGTAGAGATAAGTGAAACAAATGTTTATTGATATTGTTATTGAATTTTGATATTGAATTTCAACAAAATGGTATTTCGATGAATTCATTATTTTGTTGCAGGTCTCACGAGAGCACCAATGTACCCCTTCTCAACGGGCCAGTACCCATATCCCATGCTTAGTCCAGAAATGACGCAAGTCGCGTCCTGGTGAGTAGAAAAACATATTTATAATCATTTAAGAATAGAATTTTACGTCAAATATTATTTATTTTTTATATCTATATAAATACATATAGTTTGATAAAAGCTTCAATTTAATGTGCAATACAATTACATCCATGTTATTCTACGATTGGTTGCATTACAATATAACGTAATATTATTTCAATTTTAATCAAACATATATTCAACTGTGTGTTGGGAGCGATATTCAATTTCGCGCTGTAAACGCACGCATCCATAGAACAAGAATCGTTTTACGTTCCCGCGTGTATACGTACACATACGCGTGTGTGTGCGTGTGCGTGTGCGTGCGTGCGTGCGTGTGTGTGTGTTTTTGTGTGTGTGTGTGTATACATTATATTATATTTTATATTAATTACGCGTTAAATAATCGCTTCGTGTTTTACAGTAACGCAAATGAAAAGTAATGGAGAGCATCGGATTTCGATCGCGCGCCGAAGCGATTCTTGGCGATTTAAAATCCCGACACTCAACGCAGATCGTATATCGCGAATTGTGCACAAAGGCTACTAAATATTCATAAAAATATTCAGCAAAATACAAGGAAAACGTTATATGACGAGCCTTCTCAATAAATTTTTCGCTTTAAAGTAAATTCTTTTTTAATGTAAAGTGTGCGAATTTGCATGATAAACGTCGTTATCATCAATGGTGGTTTCTATGGTTCAAAATATATTCACTGATCTTATTAATTTCCTCTCGTTAGTAACGAATTGTCGGAGGTTTCACGATATTTAACGCCGAGCTTTTTATTAACAGTTTCTTCTTCCATCGCGATATTATTTCTCACAATGTCAGTTATGAGATTATCTACCTTTAAAATAAGACACGATATGTTCACATTCCGGTTCAGTTTTCTGAACAAATCTGGACATTGGATAAGTGTGGGCTGCTGGTCAGTCGTCCTCAGTTCCGGTCTATTACATCGGATACGGAACTTTACCTTATCCTTGCGGTCCTCATAGACGTCACCCTCTTTTCGCAAGGAGACAAGTCCTTACGATCAGGTTTTCATTCGAAGCCGCCGTTTCCCCTGCTCGTTATTTGCTTTACGCCCGATTTGTCCCAAATTGCGATTTTCCACGAATGATTAGGTTTCTTTTTCTCAATTAGAAGGACTCCCACAATATCCTTATTCGGTCGACAATCTAGCGCGCGGAGAACTGTTTGGACGTTGACATCACAGCGTGCACAGAATTTAACTCACGCGATTTTCAAGGGGTGGCGCCCATCCTTGGAAAGGGATGAAGAGTGTGAGAGGAGGCCACTTGCAATAATGAGAAAGTCGGCAGCGTTTTTATTACGCGAAGTGCATGGATCTGGTCTCTGTGTTCTTGAACAACTTGAAAATGCGAACAGGAGGACACAAAACTAATTACTCTTACGAGAAACAATTCGTTAATTATAATTAATTAACCATATTGTTGGTCGTGCGATGCTATACAAATATCATTATAACATACTTTACTCAATGAATTAGTTGTGATATCGTATTTGCGATATTACAAAGTTATGCATTTTGTATAAGAATAATTAAAGTTATTATCAATGACTAGTCAGTTTAATTAGGAAAATAATTGAAATTTAAAGATACTTAAGTTACAACTAATTATTTTCATTTTGTTCTTTCCTTGTTTAATTGTTAAAAATTAAATTTTTTAACATTTTGGCTTGTTTCTCCATTGAATACATAATTTATCAGGCTTAAAAATTTAATTTACGTACAATTTTCAATAGCAAGCAATTCCTAAATAGCAATATATACATAATTTATTCAAAAATTTCATGCCAGATATGGCAAAACGGTCGATGTTATTATGAAACGGGCAGATGTATAAATGTATTAATCAATTTCCTAGAAAATTCCCCGCTAGCGTCGAAATTTCGAGGAAATGTATCACGGGAACTCTCGTCCCAGAGACACATCTGGCAATGATAAAAAGTTAATTAAATAAATATTTACAGGCACACACCGAGCATGTATCCCATCTCGCCGGCAAATGCGGGTTTCCGAAGTCCATATCCCACGATACCCATCACAAGTTCTAGTTTACCAAGGTCAGTGAGAAAATATTTGATATCGTTAAAAATCGTTTTCGCCGCGCTTGTTTACTACTATTTGAGATATAACTATCGAGATTAAAACTGTGCCTTGATTTTTCAGTGATCTCTACCGGTTTTCACCGACGGGCCTTATGCCTCCGCATCCTGGCCTGAGTCCACACGCACACGCGCTAGCGTCACATGCGTTGGTATCCTCGGCGCCGAAGGCGGATCACTCCACCTTGGATCACAATCACAGGTTCGTTATGACTCTCTCAATTTCGTATCGCTGGCGACATCTGAACAGCTAGCAGCAAAGCCAGCATCGATTACTCCCGTTTTATTTCCCGATATCCTTTGTCCTTCCACACTCGGCTCGATAAACTTTGCGGGATTTACCACCAAGTTCATCTCAACTTCGGCATCGCTTCGTTGATCGCGAAAGTATTAAAATATTTCAAGCAATGACTTACAAGTGATCCAGTTTATGTTAACGCTCTAACGATCAATTATCATGATGACTATTATACGTTCGATGTACAAGAAAAAAAGAAAGAGGAAGAGACGTGCCGCAAAAAGAGGTGTCATAATCTTTGAAACGATGCGGCATAAACTTTCAAAGACAATTAATGAACTTGCCGGCTTGCCGCTTGGAACAGTTTTATCTTTACCGGCGCTTGTAATACCATCGTTGATTAATTACTCTGCAGCGGGGTTATAATTAATTTATAATACGTTGCACGTCGTCTTTTACTCGCGCACTAATAAACGGCTATACGATGACTAGTCGTCTATGAGTTGATAAATCGAATGATACAGAAAAATTTATATGGAAAAAAAAAATCTTAGTCTTATCCGACGTTAAACAATATTCTAAAAAAATAATCACATACTTTCATATATGTATTGGGATATATATGTATATGAATACAAAAAAATGAGAAATAGATCTACCGAGAGAGATCTACTACGTGAAACACAATTTTCTTCATTAAAAAAAAACATTTACTTCAAGTATAATCGGATCATCGTGCATCATAAAAACAACTAGAAATATATTATAATAGTTGTATTACGTCAACTCAAATGATCTACAATTTATCGAGCGATTAAGAAGAACACCGTTGATGACACGAATCAGTGGATAACCGTATTATTAATTGGACGTTATCCATCATCGAGTGGTATTCTGTCACGAAAATATTCTGAACCAGCCTGCAGATGTTATCCATCGGAAAACATTCGGTAAAATTTCTACGAGAATCTTCCTAACCACCCCACGATTGTGTGCCGATGCAGCCGTATTCTATGAAGTGTAAGCGCTACGTGCTTTTGCTTGACGATCGATAATAATATTCGAATAGCGCTGACAGCTGCAAGACACACGGGTCGTGTACCAACGCAGCGCGTCTGCTGATAAGGAAGCGCGTCGTGCCGAGGGTGAGGATAGTTGCGGCGCGAGGATCGTAGGGGGTAGCACGTCTCGACTACCCCGGAATGTTTGGCCGAACCCTTCGTCGCGTGCACTCTTCACTCTTTCACTAGTTGAAAGAGCGTGTATAACACTTATCGAATGATTCTACACAGCGTCTGCGCTTGCTACCCCGACGCTGCCGCCGCCACCGCCGCCACCGCCGTCAGTTATGTATTGATCATTACCTCTTAAACAGATTTCTAATTTACATTAGTACCCGAGCGATCGCTCGCCCCGTATCCGCGCACATACAAAGTCGCGTGCAACGTACACGCTTTGCGTCTTTTCTCTCTGTGTTTCTCTCTTTCTCCAAATATCTCTCTCTCTCTCTCTTCTCTCTCTCTCTCTCTCTCTCTCTCTCTCTCTCTCTCTCTCATGCTCTTTACATTGCGCGCAAGTGCGAGGCAGCATCATGAAGGACCAGCTGACACATCTTCCTAATCCATCAGCGACGCATCCACAAAGATGGTTGCATCGCATTTTTATATTCTCATAAAATCCGTTACACGTTTACATCCAGCCTATTGTTGCTGCATCAGTGATACATAAAGAGTCCTCGACTCTCTATTTAAAAGAACAGATTGGATACTTTCAATTTCAGTCTTGGTGAAATAAACCGTGAGAATGCTGTGTTTTACAGAGACTCGTATCTAGTTGATTTTAATTGAGAATAGGATTACTCAATCAGTTAGCGTGAGTGCAAAAATTCAAACAGTCACCGCCCGACCGTTCAGTGACCACATACATGGAATCAGACGTACAAAGATGCCTCGGTAGGAACGCTGATATCGAGATGGGAGAAAATTCCTTCGAGTAGAGCGCAATCGCACTCGCGTCGCGAGTGATCCATCCTGCTAGCTCGCCGTACTGCTGGCGAGTGGCAAGCAGGATACCCAGGTTGATCGGTAGTCGACGGCAGCGCCGCGACAATTGGTCAGAAAAGGAAGAATCACAGAGGCACGTAGAAGAGGAAGGCCACAGAGAATGCGATATTCGCCGCGTCCCCCCACCTCCCCCGCGCGCTCCCAGAATTGTAGAACCGGCTGATGGTAGGGTTGTCTCTATCGCCGTGAGAGCCATGAATCGCGATGATGCCACCCATCTCGCGATGCCACCCTCGCGCAACCCCGCACTACCCGCCGCCCTCCCCCCCTCGCACGATTCCCCCCGGCCACCCCCAGACTCGCCGATAATCAATCGTCGTAACACCGGTCGGTGGTGATTCCGCTGACGCCAGAAACGAGCGCGTTTGAGACGCGCGACGGAAAGGTGGGAGAGAGAGATACAGGGTATACTCGTGTGCGCGAAGGAAAATCCCGGCGTGAGGATACGCGAGGCACGCCGCAGACAAACGGGGGAAATCGAGATCAGCGAGAAGAAGACGAGGTCAGCGTGTATCAGGAAAGGGTAGAGTTTTTCGTGCGGGCGTTACGCGACAAACGTCACTGGAAATCGAGACGAAAGGGTGCGTTTTCGTGATACAACGAAACGAGCGCGCTATAGTCGCCGATGAGATAGACGGGGTGTTTGGTAGGTATATAGAGCTAACCCTCTACTAGCGGCGGCTGGAGGAGCAGGGAGGGGGAGGGGGTAAAAAGAGAAAAGCAGAGAGAGAGAGAGAGAGAGAGAGAGAGAGAGAGAGAGAGAGAGGGTGGCGAGAAGAGGGGGCGGAAGACAGACAGAGAGAGCGAGAGAGAGATATGACGAATGGGTGACCGTGGGATGCCGCCCCTGGAGACATTTCACCGCACGAATCGCCGGGTGACGAAGTCGCGTCAACGACTGGCGCTGCCAAAGCGGCGGCGGGTGGACGCGAACGTGTAAATGAGGCTTATCAACGACAGCGTAGCAATGACGGCGTCATTAGGCACGTCGTATGTACATACGACGCGCGGCAAATACGACGGCTACCGCGTATGTCTCGGAGACTTCCGGCGGTGCGAGGCTGCCGCCAGCGTCTGGCGGACCATCACGAACGGCGCGTAAGTGTGCGCCACCGCGTACGTGCTGTTTACAACGCTGACCGGTTTACGGGGCTTCGTTTCATCATTTTACGCGCTCGCTCCAACACGACAAAGCGTGGGGATGTGAATGGAGAGTGTAAGTTGTCGAGTGTCGCGGCTGGAGCTCAACCAGCTTGTCTACCTGCAATGCCGCGAATGACGAGCGTGCCGTTTTCCGGAATTGATGAGGAATAACGCGAGTGAGATGAGGGCCGCTAAGGCCGTCGTTGACGCGAAAAGGAGGATCTAAGGCCTTAATGTCATCGAAAGTGGATTCGGTGATTTGATTCGTTCGTTCCGTGATAATTAATCCCCGAACAATAGCACTCGGGAGCGACCGAGTGAGATCGTGTGGCGTTTAGGATCGTTCCATGGATCGATTTGGATCACTTCGGCGGTCGGCCCACGAGCTTTAAGCACGAGGTAGTCCCGTATGTGGCGATGGAGCCAGCCGAGTGCCTGGAGCCGCTGAACTTGGTGATCAAAAAGGACGACACTGAAGACAGCGGGCCGACCAGGACTGTGATCGGTGTGAAGATCGCAGAGGCGTCGATCGACGAGGAGGAGAAGGACGCTGTTGTGGCTGAGGAGAGCGCGATCGAGGATAATATGGCGATACTCCAGGACGCTGTCAAGTCTGCCGAGTCCGGTGGTTTACCAACCGCGGATCACAAACTCTTGACCGCGCTCTACATGAGTAGTCTCGTGCAAATGTCGAGCTTAAGCGCCCCGCGCGGCATTGCGCCGCCGCCATACGGCGCCAGCCAGCAGCAACAGCAAAGCTTTATGCAGCTGCTGGCGATGGTGGAGGCACGACATCGCATGTGGCAGCAGATGAACTGGCCACTGCCACAGAGTTTTCTGAGGAGCCCGCTGACGCTACCACCGACCGCGCCATCCTATTTTGATGGCGCGACAACGACGCCAACACCGACGCCGCCGAACCTGTCTGACCAGCTATCCCAGAACTCCGCACCGACCTACCCCCTGTCCTGTACGAAATCTGAACCCCTCAATTCCGAGGTTAAACAGTCCTACTTCAATAAACGGTACACACAAATGTGATCAATGGGCTTTGTAGAATTAACGTTAATCGTGCCCAACAAATTCATCTTGAGTCATCTTACATGTGTGTTGCAGGTCAACGATAGAACAAAAAAACTCCACATCGTTACCTACGGACAATGCGAAAGCTCAGGACACGGGACAACAAAACAATCAAGGTAAGGATTTAAGGGTATTTGAAGTCACATGCGGCTAATCGTAGTATTAGAGAGGCCTGACATTGTTCAAAGTGAACGGTTTATTTAATCTCGTTGTTGTTTCAACAGATAAAAAGAAACCCCATATAAAAAAGCCTTTGAATGCGTTTATGCTGTATATGAAGGAAATGAGGGCGAAGGTTGTGGCAGAGTGTACTTTAAAAGAGAGTGCCGCGATCAACCAAATATTGGGAAGACGAGTGAGTAAATCTTCTTACCTAGATATTTTTTTAGACTTAAAGTAAATTATTCTACTTCGGAGTAGCAAATTTGAATTTTTTTTTATCTATTGAATATCGTAAATTATTTTGAATAAGAAAGTACTGGGTTTATATCTGGATTAATAAAATTAATTTATTGCACTCTGATGTAAGAATAATTGAAATATGAAAAATTCAATATTTTCTCTTATCTCATAATGGAACAAGATTTTTGAAATTTTTCATGTGGAAAAAAAGACAGAGAAGAGAAATAAATTTGATTTGTTTCTAAGCAAAAATTTGATTTCTAGCAATTTACTCAGTTAATTTAATTCTATGATTATATATATATATATAATCGTTATAAACGAAAAAATTTTACTTATGAATTAGATAAATTTTTATATTGAACCGATTCGATTATTGAAATTTTTATTAGACATCAAAAGTTTTATTATTTTGATTTTATAATATATTCGAATGAGAAAAAAAAGAGAAAATATTGATCGACTATTTATTAAAAATATTCCAGACGAATTTTCATTCTGGATATACAAGTATTGCATGTGTTTTTAACGCTTTTGTCGAACGAATCATCTATCGGGTTACTAATCGGAGCTAACTAACCGTACCTACTAGTATCTCAGTACAAATAGAGCATTGTAGGTGGGATCTAAGGAAATCTCAGGTTCGTCTTGATAGAAAGAACGCTGTGACAAAAGGGAAGGGCCGAAGGGTGGTTTTTGTGGGTCTCATGGGACACGTGACGAGTCACACGAGTCAATGATAGTGACTTGTCCACTTGTCGCTAGTGATAAATAAATTTGAGCAAGAGAGGGAGAGAAAGAGAGAGAGAGCGAGAGAGCGAGAGAGGGAGAGAGAGAAAGGGAAAGGGAGGGAGAGATAATGGGGACGGTGATAAATACTGTGAGGCTGTGAATCTGTGAATCTGAATTTTGGGGGTATGACACGCAGTGGCACTCGCTAAGCCGGGAGGAGCAGGCGCGGTATTATGAGGCGGCCAGGCAGGAGCGCCATCTGCATCAGCAACGATACCCCGGCTGGAGTGCTAGGGATAACTACGGATATGGCAGCAAGAAGAAGAAGAGGAAGAAAGAGCGATCCACAGATCCCACCGGAGGTACCACTTTCCAGTGCTAGAACAGCAGGCCCTTAATAATTCATAATTCATATATAATAATTGCTAGTATATACCTATACTGGTTGATTGAAACGATCAAAGTCTCTGTGCGTTTCTTTTTTCGTACGTTTCTTTTTTTGCGTTATTTATTTATTTATTTATTTGTTTATTATGGTTTTCTGGCATTCAATCTTTTTCAACGTGTGCAGGCTATATATATATATATATATTTATCGACATATATGTATATCTCTTGGATATTTTATATATGTACATATATGCATATATGTATATTTTTTCGTTTTTCGAAACTGAATTGGATTGTCTGTGGGGATTGTGGAATGTGGCACAGCAGAGAACTAAAAAAAAAAAAAAAAAAGTACAAAAATAAGAAACAAAAAAAGGAAGAAAATCAACACGGACTCTCGCGGCATGCAATGCAATTCTTTTTTTTTTTATCTGGCCAAACTCCCTAAAGCGGTATTCGTTCTCCGGAGAACAAGAGGAAATGAGACGAGACAAATAATATCACCGATGATGCGATAATGAGAGCGAGACTGAAAACCAAAGCCTTAGGTACGGGATGTCTGGTAGAGCCTAGGGCCTGACCGTTTTTTCTCTTTTTTTGTTTTTCGCTGCGAGGCGACATCTGCTCACAGTTGCTTGTCTTCCAAGATGAGTCATGCTACGGCAATTTGAGAATTGAATGACAATATCTCGCCTTCTTTGAAATTCATTTCTTCTCTTTCTTCCATTTTCCCGTAAATATTCAATAGTATATACATATACCTGAAATAAACGTTTCTTTGGGAAGTGACAGTATTTTATTATAAGTCTTACATCGAAGTCTTCCCTTTACTATTTCAATGACGTGGAGAAGAATTGAGGCAGATGGCTTCAAACAGAAATACACTGGAGGAACCAGCGTTTTTTTTTTTAATGGAAAATGCGTTCATATTACCGAAAGGATTGAAAGACAATGAAACCTAATTGAATCGTCTGATAACAAATTTGTAATTCTCAATCTTTCAATTGTATTTGAATAAGTACGAAATTTAATCAATAAATAAAATTTATTATTATAGTTGGTTGAAACGATATATTATTATTATAATATGTATATATCTTAAGGATTGTATCTTCTAATTATTTCAACTATATCAACTGTACATAACGTTTTCTTCAGTGTATAGACATGCAAACATTACTCTTTCACTTTTTCATCCGCACGCGTAGCTCCACTAAAAATTTGTATCGTCTACTCGCTAGGTTGTATTCTCTATCAGACACCCTGTATGCCTTTAGGTTGTTAATATCGACCACATGCGACGAATAGCGGTGCGACCGAGGGGGAGGGGACAACTTAGGCTGTTCTTCTAGCACTTTAAACGGAAAGTAGGGACCCCAGTGTTACTGAAATGCTACGAGGCAACGAGATATTGCTTAAAAAAATAAAATAATAAAATAGATAACGAAAAAGTAATAAAAAAAATTAATTTCTAAATAGAGTTAGCTAATTTTTATGCAATTAGGGTGGCGGCAGTAGCATTAGTGAATTTTCTTTTTTCTTGATGATAAAAATATTATTTAGTTTACACACGGTTCATGCACAATTACAAAAAAGTGTTTGGTTCTCTCTCGGTAGTGGCACGCGCTAGGGCGAGAGGAACAGGCCAAGTATTATGAGTTGGCGCGACGGGAGAGACAGTTGCACATGCAGCTGTACCCTGACTGGTCTTCCCGCGCAAATACCAACCGAACTAAGAAGAGGAAGCGCAAACAAGACACAAACAGTGATCCTGGAGGTACCCACATGCCTCACTCCACACATTCTTACAATCCCCTCGTCATAAGGAAAGAGCCCCCGCCCCCTCCACCCTATTCATTATTACATATATACTATTATATTATATTATACATTCTTATATTGCTACACTATATTATGTTGCATGTTTCCTCCCCGTCTTAGGGGTTTT